AAACGCAACTTAACAAGAAAGTAAAAATGATAAGAAGTGATAGGGGTGGTGAATATGAATCTCCTTTTGAAGAAATATGTTTAGAATATGGAATTATTCATCAAACAACAGCCCCTTACACGCCCCAATCTAATGGGATTGCGGAAAGAAAGAATCGCACATTAAAGGAGATGATGAATGCGTTGTTGATAAGTTCTGGTTTGCCACAGAACTTGTGGGGGGAAGCCATTCTTACGGCTAATCGAATATTAAATCGAGTGCCCCATAGCAAAACACAATCCATTCCTTATGAACAATGGAAAGGAAGGAAGCCCAACTTGAATTATTTTAAAGTGTGGGGGTGTTTGGCAAAAGTGCAAGTTCCTAAACCCAAAAGGGTAAAGATAGGACCGAAAACCGTTGATTGTGTTTTCATAGGATATGCGACAAATAGTAAAGCATATCGATTTCTGGTTCATAAATCAGAAAATCCCGACATTCATAATAATACGGTTATAGAATCAGATAATGCTGAGTTTTTTGAAAATATATATCCGTATAAAAAGGAATGTGAGTCGTTTGGTGAAGGATCTAAACGACCTCGGGAAGAAACAAAAGAAAGTACATGTAATCAGGAGAATCCAAGACGTAGTAAACGTCAAAGAACGTCTACTTCATTTGGACCAGATTTTGTGACTTTCTTATTGGAGAATGAGCCTCAAACATTTAAAGAAGCTATGACTTCTTCGGAATCATTGTTTTGGAAAGAGGCAGTCAATAGTGAAATAGAATCCATATTGAACAACCATACATGGGAATTGGTTGATCTTCCTCCTGGAAATAAACCTTTGGGTTCTAAATGGATTTTTAAGAGAAAAATCAAAGATGATGGCACTATTGATAAATTCAAGGCAAGGCTCGTAGTCAAAGGGTATAGACAACGAGAAGGTCTAGACTACTTTGATACATACTCTCCAGTTACAAGAATTACGTCCATACGGATGTTAGTAGCATTAGCTGCAGTGTATGGTCTTGAAATTCATCAAATGGATGTTAAGACGGCCTTCTTAAATGGAGAGTTGGAGGAAGAAATTTACATGGAACAACCTGAAGGGTTTGTGGTTCCAGGTAAAGAAAAGAAGGTATGTAGACTTGTTAAGTCTCTTTACGGACTAAAACAAGCACCCAAACAATGGCATGCGAAATTTGACCAAACAATGTTGTCAAATGGTTTTAAGATAAATGAATGTGATAAATGCGTGTACATTAAAAATGTTCCAAATCACATAGTCATTGTTTGCCTATATGTGGATGATATGTTGATAATGAGTAATGACATTGCCAACATAAATGCTACTAAGCGTATGCTCAATAGCAAGTTTGATATGAAAGACTTGGGAGTTGCTGATTTAATTCTGGGAATTAAGATCAATAAGACTCCTCAAGGTCTGGCATTGTCACAATCTCATTATATTAAGACAGTACTTGAAAAATTCAAGCACTTGGGCTTTAAAGTTGCAAAGACTCCAATTGACGTGAATCTTGCATTAGCAAAGAACAAAGGCCAAAGCATATCACAATTGGATTATGCTCGTGTATTGGGATGCTTAATGTATATCATGAATTGTACACGACCAGACATAGCTTGTGCTATAAGTAAACTGAGTCGATATACGAGCAATCCAGGCCAATCTCATTGGATGGCAATGAAACGAGTTTTGGGATATTTAGAACATACCCAGAACTTTGAATTGCACTACAGTAATTTCCCTGCGGTGATTGAGGGATACTGTGATGCAAATTGGATCACCGGTTCAACTGATTCTAAGTCCACGAGTGGATATGTATTCACTATTGGTGGAGGAGCGGTATCTTGGAAGTCGTCCAAACAAACATGTATTGCCCGCTCTACAATGGAGGCTGAATTCATAGCCTTAGATAAAGCCGGTGAAGAAGCTGAATGGCTCCGGAATTTCTTGGAAGACATTCCATTTTGGCCCAAACCGTTGGCACCAATATGCATACATTGTGATAGTCAAGCGGCAATTGGAAGGGCTGGGAGCGTCATGTATAACGGTAAATCTCGTCATATACGACGAAGACATAAAACCGTTAGGCAATTACTCTCTAGAGGAATTATCACAATTGACTATGTAAAGTCAAGTGATAATGTGTCGGATCCACTTACAAAAGGCCTAACTAGAGAGGTAGTTGAGAAATCATCAAGGGGAATGGGGCTATGGCCGAGAACAAGTCATTGTGGCGGTAACTCTACCTAGAAGACTGGAGATCCCAAGATCTAGGTTCAAAGAGATCAAACAAAGTCATTAATGACGGTTCAACATTGTCAAATAAAATTTTAGTCCATTCTCGTGATGAGACAATGTTCAGTACCAAGGATAAAGCATTAAGGCTTTTTAATGATTTCTAAATTTGATACGGGGTATATCAAATAGTGTATCTACAGGATGACACGTTTAGGAATCACCTATTTAAGTGTGAAGTGTGAGCCGCTTCAAGGAGAACTTTGTAAGGCCAGTTCTCTACGCACTTATGAAACCAGGCGGTGTTCATGGCTGAAACGAACACAACAATGAGAACCAAAGACGGTTAAGGGTTGATTGTGTGACTTATGGTTGTCTAGGTATACACCAAAGATCGACGGTTCAAAGATATCAAATCTACCGATTGACCGAGTATATCCGACATAAGTTTACTACGGAAAGTTCAAAGGGAAACCTACTTATCCAGATGCAATTAATCCTTGCTTGTAAATCACACAGTTTTTCATGCATACTTCCGTGATATAGCCATTCCCCATTCATGTGGGGGATTGTTGAGGTTTTATTTTTAAAATGTAATATTCTTAAAATGAGGGTGAATGGGAAATGGAGGGAAAATGAAATTTTGAGTAAAATTTTAAGTTTCCCCCTCTTAACAATGAGACATTGTCCCATATTGGAAGTGGAAGACATTTTTGGTGGGTATATATATAATTGCTCTTCTTGTAGCTCTTAAAGAGTTAAGAAGAAAGCAAGCCTCGCGCCGTCGTCGTCGTCGCTCGCTCGGCTCGGCTTCGGCTACGGCTACGGCTTCGGCTTCGGCTTCGGCTTCGGATTTGGATTTGGATTTGGATTTGGTCAAATGATCGATTGATTGATTAATTTTTTGGACCAAATTTATTTGTTAATAGTAAATATTAACGTAAGATTATCCGCATTTGTAACGGATATTTTTCAATCCGTGTATTGACCATTTGGCAGCTGCCTAATGCTCTTCCCACCATGAATGTGCTTGCTCCACAAATATGAATGTGCTTGCTCCACAAACAAGTTAATGCTTGCTCTACCATGGAGGGTGGACGTTTGGTCTTCTTCAACACTGGCTGCTATATATATATGCAGCAGATGTTGAAGAAAGATACTCAACACTCAACACACAAACTGAAATCCTGAAATCGCTCAACAGATTTGGCTATACATTGCACTCAATCCTCTCAGTATTTCCATACGATTTTCTGAGTTTCTACTCCTTCATTCTGCATTGTTTTAACTTCAAACAAAGCAACTGTAAGTGTGATTTGCTACCGAACTTTGTGTTCGCTGAAACACTGGGGTTTGAAGTACCTCTACACCAGTGTGTGATTCGTTCTATCCTGGGAGGAAATAATCCATTACCTTGGGTATTAGGAGGGGATTAAATTCCTTAAGGAAACACTGTGAATTCAGTGGGCTCGAATTAATTATTATTTCATTACGCTAACTTATATTTTGCAGAATTATTATTTACAAATACAGCAATATTGGCGGGACTAACAGTATGTCGATATAAGAACTCAATTCTAGGGGATAGATTGGCTCAATTATTCAACAAAACAGTTCAATTTAAACTCATCTATACTTGGTCAAAATCTCTAAAAAAAAAAAAGGCAGTACCTTTCTATATTTGTATCTGTCATTAGAATTAAGTTTCAATCCTGCTTGGTAGATCATAGCTTTGTTGATTCTTATTTTGTTGCCCTTCTGAAATGAAATAACAGAAGAGATTCTAATGCTTAGTTTTCTTTTCTAATTTCTTTCCAGAATACCAAGGTGCAAGTATGTGCTGTCAATTGCAGCTGTTAAAATCCATCCAATACTGCATCAACATTTGTATTAGTTGGACCACCAACATGAACATGATTAATCTAATTGTTTTTTCTTCGTCATTCACATGGAATCAAGCTCAAGAATATAATTTTTCAACTTTGTTCTGCAAATGAATGTATACAGTATGAAGCGTATTATGTTAATTAGTCAATTTGATGGTATTGCTTTCTTTGTCACGGAGCTCTTTTGTAAAGTGGTGTCGATATATGCCCGTGCACAGCACGTGCACGGGCCATCTAGTACTATTTAGAAGCGGGAGTGAAGCGCCTCTTCGTCGTCAAGCTTTCAGGTGAAATTATATTTATACCCTTAGGTCTTTCTATTCCCCACAATTTGTTTAGGCCCATTTATGTAAATTTGTTTTGTCCTTGGGCGGTGGCCGACCAGCCCCCCTCCATCGTTTGCTCTCTTTCTCTCTCTGTCTATTGTTGTGAGTTGTGATGATGTCGACGATTGTGTAACAGACATGGTTTACGCAACGGAAATCTCAGCGACTTTTAAAGTGATGTCAAGTTCGTTCATCATACCCATTGAAATATAATCCAGCTTGAAAAAATGCTCGACAGTGAAAATATTTGTTCAGTAGTGAGAAATTCCCTCATGACATTCATCTCCGCCTTCTCTTCTCTCTCCTTTCCCTCATCTCTCGGGCCTTAACCAACTTTGCTCGAATTTGCTCAGTTGAGGAGTGAAGCTACCTTCGAGCAGTGTATCGGCTGTAATATTTGTGGTGGTGGAGTAGAACTTGGAAGGGTGGCCACTTGAAACGATTCATGGCACTCACGTTAAGCATTTATTTGACATTTCACTCAAACTCTCTGTATTTGATTTTAGTTCGACGCTGCTATAATTACCGGGTGAGTTTTATTCTCCTCTTCTTTTTTTTTTTCCCTTTTATAGTTTTTCCCAATTTGTTTTACTTTGTGATATATATATATTATGCTTTTATTCCAAAGAAATTGTTGTAGGAAAGGAGTATCGATGATTCTGTTTTACTGGTCTTGTATACTCAATTTTGTACTTTGGAATTTCAGTTTAGCTTTTCGAAACATGGTGCGTTTTTACTCTTATCAAACATGGCCTCAACTCACTCTTGACTCAATTGCGTAGGTGATTTCTCAAAGGAGCACTGTTCTTTAAGGCATGTCTCTGTGATGCTCGCTTATAGAAATTGACTTTGAATTTTAATTATTTCTTTGGGCAATTTCGGATTAGAGTGATATTTGGAGGTTAAAAAAGTTGATTTATGATCATCCTGAAGTATGGCAATGCTAATGTTATAATCTGAGATAAAGGTCTTTTATTTTTCCAACTGAACAGGTTAAGAGATGAAAGCATGAAAATTGTCTAATCTTTAAAGAAGCATAGTTATGTCCTTCAAGTAAGGAGGTGTAGACTGAGGCATCACAGTTTTGTATACATTTTGTAGCTCTGTGACTAATCAGAAATTCATTTTTGGTCTATCCCTGATCTGTTTAACATGTGAATATTAAAGAAACCAACAGTTCATACTGTAATATTCTGAAATTATTTTCTTTATCAAAGATGAGTATGATAATATGTAGGCATTCCGTCCAAAATCCTTATCTCAGAGTATAAACAGTGTCCAAGTGCTGGCCAGTAATTACCAGGTAGAAGTTCTTGCAAAGAAGAATTTTTACTCTATATATATTTACTCTCGAACTTTCCTGTTATATGCGACTTCCTCGAAAAATTTAGTGTTAGCCAAATTCCCAAGGAAGTGATCTTCTTCACTTTGCTCTCTATTGCTTATCCTCATGTTCGATTTACACTATCGATTAACTTCATAGCAGCAGAAATTACAGTAACTATGTCTATGATAAGTTGGATTTTTATGAATGTGTTTCTATAACTTCCTATTTTAGGCCCTAGGAAGAAGATGTGATGGAAGCATGTCGCAGGTTTCTAAGAAATGTGTCGGTGAAAGACGGTGCTCTTCTTAGGTTAGTAATGAGTGATTTAATTTTATTGGCATGTTCAATGGACCTTCATAACCCCATAATAGTAAGACATGTGATTTTGGATTGAAAAATTCAGAGTTTTGGTAGATTTTACCATTTTAGTTAGTGAAACAACATTCTCTTTGTTTGAAGTGTTTAATACAACCTTGTTTGCCATTTTATGTTATGAAACCTGTAGTGCTGTAGGTATTTCCAATGTAATTATGTGCAAACTTTTACCTTATATTATGCTTTAACTTTTAGTGCTCTGTAGTATATATGAAATCACTGAGACTTTATTTCCTTTTTAACTTACCATAATTAGCTCTGAATTGCTATTCGGGTATTCTTTCAGTCATCATTAATAAACTAAAACTGACTTTTATGTAAATAATAACATCAGCAGAAAAAAAGTTGATCATTTGCTGAAAGTCTGAAACTCTCAGTTATTGTGTTTATAAGCATACTAAAATGAATAAATTAAATAGGATTCTTCTAGGTTCTTCATTATAACTTGTATGTATTTATAACGTTATCAAACCTGTGTGGTTTATTGAAAAGAGCATATGCAGGCCATTATAATGAAAGAGTTGATATTAAACTAGAAGGTCCAAAAAACTCTTAATCTTATTGAATTAGGTGAAGATTACATGCCATGTTTGAAAAAGTTTATAGTAAGGTATGAATTACAAGTATATTTCCTTTCTAATTATAGATAGTCAAAGAGTATTTTGTTAGAATACATTAACTGTAAGGTATTAGAAGTACTCATTATGGATATACTAGGAGAAATAAGCTCCTTGACATTATTAATCGTCTACCTTAACACATTCAATGATTCAAATGTGTTTGTATATTTTTTTAAAAGGATTTTAATTTCTCATTTCAAATATAAACTCCTAAAATTTCTAAGTAAGATCATATTTTGTCAAGATTTTTCACACGAGAGAGTAATGAGAAAAGTGATACATTATTTTTCTTTTACATTGTGACTGTGGACATTTTTGTTTACTTTTAACATATCATGGATGTATAGAGCACATTGTGATATAAAGAGTAAACCTCCACAAATTTGGTCTTTCAAGCACATTTTGTAGAAGAGTTATGGACCTACAGTTGCTCCCCACGCCCCCTGGACAAAGTTAACATAGAGTGAGCTTGTATGTGATGTTTGGTAAATTACATTCATTTTATGTTAACTAAACCAAGATAAACATGATGGGACATAAAATTTGAAGTATTATTGTGTAGGTAAATTACTTCATTGGGGGAGAAATTAACTGTACCTTGTTTTACTGAACTACGTGCCGAATTAACTCTTAAAGGTTCTGTTTATTGGGGGTATTCAATTTCTAAAAGTAAGGGGGGCTAATAAGTTCATCAATCTTATTATTTCTACTCTCTTTACACTTTTATCCTGTAAATATAATCTTACCTTACTGATTATCCTCTATGCTGTAATTTAATGCAGACTATGCTAGCAAACAATGATATTTATGATTCGTGTTTTCTAATATGTGGGGTAATTAGGTGATTTATTCTTTAGTATTTTCTCGAGTTGGATGCTCAATTTAGGTGATGGATTACTGCTGCTATTTTTGGGTTGCTTGTTAAGCTCTTCAAAGTGCGTTTCTTCAAAGTGCGTTTGAAATGAAAATATTTGAGAGTTTTAGATATACTTTGTAAAGCATAATAAGTTCCTCATATCTGAAACATTTATAAAAAATAAAATTGATGCTTGCTCCCATTGCGTATTACACAGTTTTTTCAACCTGACCATGCAGCCCAATGCAAGGAGCATTCCGCGCTCATGCAGGGGCTCAGGGAAGGGAGGTAGTCTAACTTGAAACATTAAGAAGGAGAAGAAGATTAATTGTTATGAACTGCATTCTTTAGCTTCTATATAATTATATTTTGTATTGTTTTGATGGCAGGAGTGTAGATCTTAGATATTAATGTTGTATTAATGTTGTTTTCTGACTAATAAGAAATTATTGATTTTGATCAACTTTAATTGCTGGAATGTAGCTGACGTTTTGAGTTTATCACATTCTTTCTTTAACAAGTACTACCAATATTGAAGAAGGCCATGTGTTTACATGTTTTTTTTTCTTGGAGATAGTTGGAGGAATTGAGGAAAAGGGTTCGATATTTGGAAGGAGAAAATGGATCGGAAAATGAAGCAGGGTTTGAGAGAAGTATAGGAGATTTAGCTGACCATAAAAAAGAAGTTGAAATATTTGTGAGCTGTTTCCTTCTGGCTTCTGTATAGTTTTAATTTATTATTAGGCGGTAAGAGTGTAGATCTTATTAGATACTATTACTATTGTTTTGTCTTGTTAACTTTTGATGTGTAGAGGTAGTTGCAATACTAATCCTCTGACCTGACTAATAAAACTTGTTGATCTTGATCAATTTTGAATGTTATGCTGAAGCTGATTTTTCAGTTTAACTGCAAGTTCCAGTCTTGAAGAAGGCCTTGTATTACATGTTTTCTTTTATCTTTTCTGAAAACATATTTTAGCGCTGGATTTGATCAGGATCTCTTCGAAATGCATTTTCAGAAGATGAGAAGTGGAGAAGAAAATCTGTCCATTTTCATAATTTTCGGATGTCCTAAAATAATCCATGTTCAATAATAGATGTAGAAACAAGCATACATGTCAAAACAAAAGGCACCAGTGGTCTAGTGGTAGAATAGTACCCTGCCACGGTACAGACCCGGGTTCGATTCCCGGCTGGTGCAAAAGTTTTTTTTTTCTTCACATTATTGTTTTGTTATTTTTATTCTGTATTTATATGATTTTTTGGTACTTGCGTGCACACTACACTCCCTAGACAATACTGGGTATATTGTTGTAAACAAGCATACATGTCGAACTTCTTAAAATCTCTTCAATGAACTAATAAATATGGACTTACATGTTGCCCCTAGGGACTATATCACAAATAACAGGTTATTAGAATGAGTACCTTAAACTCATGTATCTCAGTTCCACCAATTGATCATGGTATACTCTATGAACAATGACTATAAAGGTTTACCAAGAAAATACCACATTTGACATCAACAAATGTGGAGAGTAATGTTCCTATCGACTGCTGTTCAATTATTGAAGTTTAATATCTTCGTGTTAACCACAACTGAATCAATGTTGGTGATGTGAGCCAAAATCTTGAGACTAAGAAAGATGCTTTAAAGAGATAGCACTGGAGATCTTGAACATATGAGTTATATCACAGTGTCGATTCCAATTTCCAAGATGTTGAACGAAGAAAAGGTATGAAAGCAAATACGCAAGGTGGTAAGAGCGAAAGGCAGAGCACCAAATGGAACTAATAAAAGTGCTAGATAATGAAATTTGGGTGTTGTAACATCCCGGATTTAAACAAACCTCTATAGCAGAAAAAAAAAACGCAAAGATGATATTGATCTTTACTAGATCAACACGTCTAGACATTTTCTTTTCAGAATGCGTAACCATTGCTTGAGTTATCTAAGAGAACACAAATTGAAGTACTTTCGCATCAATTCTCCTTGCCAAAGTTGCTGAATAGCTCAATACTGCCTTGCTTGTGGCAATAATAGTTTTTTTGGAAGGAGATAGCAGACAAAAATCCAAGCACTATTGTCCAATTTTTACTAAATATCCAGAAAGTTAACTTATAGCAATGGTATCTATGCTTTTGGCATTATTCTTCTAGAGCTTTTGATCGAGTAGGGCAATGGAGAAATGAGTTAATGCATCTACCATCTTTAACTGATATCTTTTACTTTGTATTGACTCATGTAGCATGAAATGGTGAAGACAGTGAGGCCCGTAATCAGATTTGCTCCTTCTATGATAATGTGAAAAGTAGAGTTAATCCTATTTTCTTTGGTATCTTCTCATAGGTTAAAATTTGGCATGATTATAGCTTTCAGCCTACTTGCTGTAGCAGATGAATATATGGGTGCATTAGAGTTCTTTTTTTAAATTAATTTTCTTGGTTCTTAAGGTGAGTGATCAAGAGACTATTAATGATTCAATAGATCTTTTTATTGAAGTGGTTTAGATAGACGATACGCGTCCCTTTTTGGTTGTTTTCGTACAATAGACTTCCAAATTATAATATTAAATTTCAAGTCATTTGTTCAACTATTTAGACAATTTTTATCTTTCGCTTTGGTGACATAGGTGGTATACATATAAAATTTACATCACAGACCACACTTCGTATAGAAAAAAGTTTACATTTCTAACTTCTCACAAGATCTCTTCAATGAGCTAATAAATATGCACTTAGAATATTGCCGCTAAAAATTATATCCCAAATAACATATCATCGGAATGTGTACCTGTCACTCATATATTATATCTCCTCCAAAAATTGATACTCTTTGAAAAATTATCCACTAAAATAATATAAATTGTTAACTTAAATAGATTCGGGCCCGGGTTCAGCACGGCCATTCTCTACTAGTTATATTATAATTATACTTATTTAGAAGGGGGAGTTGAGGTGCTATTCGTCGTCCTGCTTCTGGTTTATTTTTGGAATTTTCCATCTCTGCTTCGGGGTTATTTTTGGAAATCTGCCCTCTAAGTGGCTTAAAATTGTTCTCGTGTACGTCCCTTTTGTTCAACACGTAAGCACGGTCTTCAGTTTCTCGTCTCCCCCGTGCTCTCTCTCTCTCTTTCTATCCTCTCTGCCTCTCTTTAGAGTTTAGATTCTTCAAGGTATAGATCTCTCTTTTCCCCTTCGTTTTCTCCCTAAGTTTGATATTGTGGGCTGTTGATTTTGTTCCTCGTTTTTTGGTATTCGAAAGTTCTGGTCGAATTGAACTCAAGCCCAAGTTGCTTCCACTATAACTCTTCAGGCCAAAGCAAAACTGGAGAAGATGACGATTTGTAATAAGATGTTTGTCGCGTCTATCAGGTGTTGAGGTGTACTTTGCTGTCAAACACGTGGTGTGCAATTCTTCAATCTTCCCTTGTGTCTGTGTTGGTAGATCTCTGTCGTTCCGTCTTTGTTTTTCCTTTTAGGTTTGGAATTAAAGCTATGTAATTTGGGTTGAGGTCATTCTTATAGGGTTGGAGTCAATGCTGGATATGTATTTTCAAAGAGTTACGAGTGTCGGTCTTGTAAAACGTGGCCGCCAACGCAGTTGGACTCACCGTTTGTCAGCTCATCCCCTTCCTCACTCTGTTTTGCGCAGGTCGATTTTCTTTTTGCGGCTGCTGAGTGATTCATTTTCTTCTCCCTGTTGTTCTCCGTGTTGGCATTGCTGAAACATAAAATTTCGAGTTCTGCTGAGAGGTGAGACTTGCTTTTGCTGAAATTTCATGTTCGTTGTTGTGTGCTACTCTGGTAACAAGTTCGACTTGGTTCTTTTAGCTAGCTTTCTGTTTCATCCTGATAAATCTTATGGCTCTACTCGTCTTATTAATTGACATATAGCAAACTACATATATTGATTAAGTTGTTAGTTAAAGCTAACATAGAATTCATGGCAATTCGATACTATAAGTGATTTCAGGATGAGGTGTATTTTTTCGGTTTTAATACTTAAAAAGCGATAACCAATTGCTTGACATATTTTATTGGATTCTCCGGATTTTGATTTGGATTAAGGTTTAGGAAATTTGATAACAGAAGAGAAGTAAAGAGAAGAAAGACAGGGACATCGGAAAAAGGGAAAGAGACGCTATGTCGCGAAATTGTCGAGATGAATGCTGACTTAAAGGGGGTGGCAGGAAAGGAATAGGGAGTTGGTGAGGTTGGAAAGATTTGAGACTCTGGCTGCTGAAATGTTGGAGAGGTCGAGTTTTCTTTGTGTGGGCCACGACAGATTTATTTTATTTAATTTCGGTTAGCTTTGGGATATATGTTACCTGGAAGAAAATTATTATCACATGACAGATTGGTCAAGTCATTGCAAAGAAATAAATTTAACTTTTAGAATATAGAAGATTGGTATGGTCGTGTAACTACATTAGATGATGATGATGTGATCGTAGCAACAGATTTATCAGCTCCTAATATTCTTATATGTGCTTCCAAAATTAACAATGAGACCGAAAAAGAAGAATAGTTTGCAGGAAATACATGTACTTAATTGAGATAGTGCTGGACAACTTTCTTATGGTTTTAACTGAGGTAAAAGTCACACAAGTTAGATTTAATCTACTTTATAAATCATTTATCTAGGAGAGATTGGAAAACATGATGCCAAGTGTTGGCGCAGAATGATAGAGAGTTGTCAGTTAGAAGAGTTAAGCTCTTTAGATATTGTTCCACACTAGACAAATATTGATACAACTACCCTTAGATGTATTTTATATCTTAATTGGATTATTAGTGTATTGTCTTAAGTTTAGAACAAATATGGCACGAGGGTTCTGTGAATTCATTTAGAAGAGTGAAATCTACAAGACGAAATAAAAGATTCACATTCAAGAAAGAATTACTTTTGTTAGCGAGTGAATAAGTGAAAATTTTCCAACTATATTGAGAAGATCTTTTAAAAAGAAAATGTAATGGTTACTCCTAAAAAATTATAATAGCCTTCCATCCATGTTGCACTAGAGTATATTACTGAAGTCTTAAGTGTAATTTACAGGGAAAAAAAATATTTATACATATCATTATGCAATTTAAAAGAGAGAGAAAAGGCAAAGCTACAGATAAGATAAAAAGAAAAGCTTCATGGTTTCAAATTTGTATGTATTAATTGTTTCTGTAACTGTCTTTGCTCTTTCTTTCTGCTCGATGAAAAAGAATGATAGTTGTTCTATAGGTTTCTAAGGTGATTGGAGTACTTACCGTCGAGAAAGTCAAGTTTTTTATCAATGGATCTGCGGCAAAGAAAAGGTTGACATGCTACACTTGTTATTTGGAATGAAGGTTTCTGCAGTGCAACTGCATTTGACTCTGTATACACCTTCCATGAAAAGCTTGAATGTCATTGTGGAAACTATGGAGCATCTTTGGAGGAAATCAAGTTTTTATACAGCTAGGATCTAGCCCAGGATACAACACACTTTCGTTAGGATCTTGAATTGTATGCTTGGTAATACTACAAGGTAAAATCAAGATTCTTGGTCTCTCTTATCCAACAACGTCCTTTCCTATTTAGTATTGATAGCTTTATTACAAAATTTACCTAACTGCTTTCATTGTTTTCTTTTGTCACTTGCAGTGAAGTAGTGCTTCCTGGTTACATTAAAGAGGACAACATTAAAGGCATATATGACACTGTTGAGGAGCGTGCTTTATTGGCAAACCAACTGGAGGAAATAGAATATTTATGATTTACAAATATAAAGTATCTTATTGTGTTCAATTTATCACATTTGCAATGTATATAGTAAGTTCATTCTTCGATCTTGGTATGACTTCTTTGAACTCCCTTTAGACAAGCTACTCGAAATTAAACTTACACCATATCTCTCTCAATTGAAAAATGTTTTGTATTCTAAGACTACTGTAGGGGTTGATAGCTCAATTTCTTGGCCGGACGAGCTTTGGTAGGAAAATTACTTATTCATTTTCATTCTTTAACTCTGTATTTCTTACTTCCATATCATCTTAGTTGTTTGGTTAATCTGCAAGAATGTGACTCATCCTGAGAATCATTTGATTCAGTTAGTTATAATATCCAATGTAAATATGCTGAATTCTACATTCAGGTTTAGTAGTTTCAACTCCCTTATTCTTGATAAAAAAATTAATTTCAACTCCTTTCTTCCGGCTTTTCAGGTGATTAGTCTTTTCAAAGAAATAACTCTGACTAGCTGAGGAGTTGTGCCAACAGATTACCCATGAATCATAGGAACCCAACCAAAGTTGTCCCGAGACATGGTATTGATAGGCATTTTACTAAGAATAGATTATTAGAAATGAATGAAGAGTGACTAACCAGTACTTCTTTAGATCCAATAGATGATACAAGAAAAGAAAGTAGAATAAGAAAGCAAAATGATGTTACTACTTTCTACGACAAGTCCAGCCTTTAAAATACAAGTTGGCCATTTAGCATGCCTATGGTTTGAATATCTTAGACATTAGTTAGAGTAGGCACAACACAGTATAAAGTGAAGCTTGTTTGATATTTAAAAGGTTTTTTCTTCTCCATCTCAAAAAAAGGTTTTTTCTTCTCCATCTCAAAAAAAGGTTTTTTCTTCTACTCCATAGATTCTCATTCTTAATAGTACATGCTTCATGTTTATTGACTTTAAAATTGTTCAACGACAACATAACACCTTTGTTGATCGGTTTCTAGGATTTAATTTCGCTACATCTACTTTCTTTCTAGCCGCCATGAAAAGCATCTGTATTTTGAAAGGAAAAAGAAAGAAAAGAAAGTATCTGTATTCTGTACAATTCATTCCTTTACTCCAATTGAAAACAACGTTGACGTACTGTGCATTGCAATTTAAAGACTTTATCTAGGTTTTAAGTAAGTTTTTCCTTTGACACAATAATTTAAAAGTGTAAATATTTATTATGGTGCTGCTAACTTTATTATACTAAAACGTTTTGGAGTTGGTTCACTTGAAGATGTGGTTTGTTACCTCTTTAGAGTGTTCACGATAAACTCTTTTTTTGGTTGTTTCGGTATATAAACCTAGGAGTTATAGACGCGATGCTAAATGCAAATTGATTTTGTCTTTAAAAAGATTGCCTCAATGGTAAAGTAAACAATCATTTAGGGTGCCATTTCTTGATTTCTTCTTACATAATTTACCTGATTTGATGACTTTTTTCATTGTGTCATGACTTTATAAAACCTTGATTTACTGAGTATGCAACATAGTTTAATGATTCTATGTCATGACAACTCAAAATTTCTACTGGAACAGATCTTTGCAGGCAATTTGTGGAATTAGTTGAGGCGTGCATAAGCTGGCCTGGACACCATGGTTAATAAAAAAAAGGAATAATTCGTCAGAGATAGTTAATTGGGGCTGCTGGATAATGGAGAAGTATGAAGCAGTGAGTGATACAGATACACCTATGAGCTTTTCTTCTCTTCAGATAGTTTTATGTTCATAATTTAGGAATTTTGAGAAGACTATTAAATTGATGAAGTCAGTCGGCAGCTCCATCTCTCAAATGAGCTCTTCAATCATGTGCAGACCGTTTATTAGTAAAATATCATCTGCAATTTATTTAGTATTCAAATAGGTCAATAAGCCTGGAATAGTGCAAGCAGGTAAAGAAGTTTTAACAAATTAGTACCACAGATTTTAAGTGCAAGCAGGTGACGCAATTGCCTTGGTCATTCTCTGATTTACTGAAGTCCGTGAGCCATAATTAATGTATCTGATTCATACTATTATAAATAGGAGTATTGCTAGCTTATTTATGTGTGGAGATTTCTAATAAAATATTTTCTGTCAGTATCTAAGATATTTTTATTTTCTTTGGTGGTTGCAACACAATGAATTTGCTTGTTGACAAATTCAACCCTGCATATGATAGACATAACAGGAGGAGTGGACGAACTGCTTTTATTTGAAAATTTATATACTGCCAAGATTGCCTTTTTGCTCTTGTTAAATCTCCTTTGTAGCAGTAGCTTTATGTTTTGCTGAGTTTAGGGATCGTATAGGAATTAAAGTAGTGAGTTTGCTTTTCTTTTGTCTCTCTTTAGTCGTAGTTGCCCATATATATAACCTTGATTCTTGTGGCACCATTATATACGTGCGTGAAAGTGGTAGAGGATTTTGGCTTTAGAAGTTTTACTTAGTATGTTTGGGGCCATTGTTGCCCGGTAGCAGTAGTGTTATGCAGGTACTAATATAATTTGAGATTCTGGGCATGTGTTCTTCCTTTCCCGCAACCCAGCCCTTTTAATACCAAGTTAATCTTCATCGTATTTTCTTGGTGAATGTTAGTCTTTACTCCCCTCAAAATTACTTTCAAATTTGCAATTTTTTTCCCTGTTGGAATGAATTTCAGTTTGATTTATACAAAACGTTACTATAAAGTTTCCCTATCTTATGGAATATGAGTTCTTAAAATCTTACAAGTTCACTTGAAGTACGAAAATACACTGTTTTAATCTTGTTAATCAATCCAATTCTTTTGTGGCCGGTGATGACAGAAAGAACCCATTTGTTTTTCTGTTGAAGATGAAACTCATTGCGATCAAAGATGATGTTTGAATATGATAGACTGCAAATAAGCTAATGCATTTCTCTTGAGAGTTGAGAAGAGATCCTTTTTAATAGGATGGTATCCATTACAATTTAAAGGGTTTATACAACAAAGAGAGAAAAAACAAGACAATGAGAACATTACAACTCAGGCTGCAAATAAGGCTGAAATAAGCATAACCAAGTCTAGCTCAAGCACAAGTACAAACGTAAAAATGTGGTTGCAGCCTTGTAGGCTATCCAAGGTGCATCATTGTGAAGCTGTATTTTAGACAAACTAAAGTACAGAAGCAACATTTTATTGGTGTAAGAACAATGGACTTCCAATTATCTTGACAGTTCTGTCTTCAGAAAGTAATGATACTGAATGGAGTTAACAAATGGCAAGTGCAAAAGCTCAAAGTTCAGTTTTCTATACCCAGACCGTCTAAGAAAGATCATCGAAGGTCAATGAAAAAAAAACTAATAAAAGATTAGCAGATAAATGAATTGGCTCCCAAATATATTTGTATGCCAAAAATTATTTAAGTTAGCAAATCTGCTTCTGGAAATTGAAATGTAATGGCTCAAGTGAACTATTATAATTAAATAAAATTCATTTATGCAGAGAGAATTCCAGGATAATAGCGTTCTCAAACTATATCTCTAATAACAAAAACTTGATACATCTCATAAAAATTTATCCACTCTTTTTATAAAATAAAAGTTTGGGCCTGGGCTCAGCACAAGCCAATTCTACACTAGTTTCTTAAAGAGAGAAATTCATTTATAGCCCATCGGGCCAAACATATATCATCCGGTAGCCACAAATTGACTCATACAAGTCATAGCTTAAAAACAAATAACAACTGCTAGCCGGAAACCTCTCTGACCGAATTCCTTTCGTTTAGATACCTCACCGAAAAATCCTAAAACCGGCCAGATCTAAGAAGATCTGGACTTTTACCCGTTAAATCAACATCAAAACAAAAGAAATAGAGATGAAGGAGGTGAGGGATGGTGTATCAATAGCGTGGAACAGTCGTTGTCGATGGGGGTAATACCATCGCCAGCCAGTGGTCAATTCCGGCGGTGACTAGTAAAAATCAGTAGCAGCAACCTATAGGGAAGAAGAGGAAAGCGAGAGGAGCAGTCATGGTCATCATTGGCCGACCAGATTTCGGCAGAGGTGTAGCATAAGGCAACGAGAGAGACAGCCTTGTCTTATTTTTCTGATTTTCTCTTATAGTTTCTGTGAATATGAAGTTAATATTTTGAAGATCTTTTGCTGAAAATTTAAAACTACGGCAATCTTGTTACCATTTTCGGCGACTGTGAGGACATAGACGCCGGTGGCTGGTCCCTCAATGAGAGGAAGATGAGAGGAGATAACTATGCATAAAGTTGAAATATATACAAAATAGACTGTCACTATACAAAAATTATACAAAATAGACTGTCACTATACAATTTATATATAATAGAGTGTCATTATACAAAATATATACAAAAATAGAATATCATTATATAAAAAATATACTAAATAGACTGTCACTATACAAAAATATACTAAATAAACTGCCACTATACAGTTTATATGACTGTCACTATACAAAATAGACTGTTACTATACAAAAATATACAAAATAGACTGTCACTATACAAAAATATACTAAATAAACTGCCACTATACCGTTTATATGACTGTCACTATACAAAATAGACTGTTACTATACAAAAATATACAAAATAGACTGTCACTATACAAAATATATACAAAGTAGACTGTCAATATACAAAATAGACATTTCGGGCTACTAGATGCAATATGTTTGGGCCGAAGGGCCATTTCGTGTCAATGGGAAAAAACATGAGCTATTAAAATTTTGAGGGGCTATAGAGTGTAGTTTTCTCTTTTTAAACACTACAATGTAGCATTGGGGACCACAATAATTTCATAGTAAAGCCTAGAGCGATGTGCATTTCAAAAAAAAAAATCAGAATTATATTTTAATAGTATTAAACCAAACAAAAGTGGATAAAATCAATCCACATCGAATTTAACTATGTATGATATTGATTTAGTATTTTAAAAAATAAAATATCGAAAATATCGAATCAAAATATCTAAAAGCTATACCAAACTCGAGTTGAATCCTTCAAATAAACGAAAGAAATAATTTAATTGCTCAATATTATGACCTTTTGTTACAAGATCATTGTTCCACGGCTACAGAGTTGATCTCAACACTGTAAAGGTTTTGCTTTTAGGAAACAATATTGGTATAAAATGTATGACGTATAATTACTAATTAGTTAGAAAGATAAACGAATGTCCTTGATGTTATTCGTAATCTTTTCCAAAAAGAATGAGATTAGGATGGTTTTTGGCGTCTAAAATTTTCCACCTTAATTTTCGTTTTTCCCCTTATAATTATTCTTTAACCTTTTTATTGTTACTTAAACACATGATGGGCCTTAATGTTGGTGTTTAAGAGATGGGATAAAATGGCAAGCACATTGACATAAACAACTGCCGTTAGTTTTTTGTATTTTCTAATAATTTTTAATTCAAAATTGCCTTACCTTATTTAATTTGTTTACAACAAAATGAATCTAAGCCATGAAATAGTTGGGTGGACACATGGCATGAATCTGTCTATGCATTGAACAATACTGGACCAACTTTCACTAGAGGGGATCTCATCCCGTGTGGGTACTGAGTTTATTGAACTCGCAGCAAAAAAACTGCACATTCTTCACTAGTTGCAACATGAATGAGATTTATGTTCTAAATACTACATACAACAACTATAAGGTGTTTAGATTAACTTAAAAGCTGGTCAAACCACTCTTGTTTACTTTGAATTTTCTCTAAACATAACCAAACTCGATTTCATGTGCTAAAAGCTCTAATTTTGACAACTCCCTCGCATATAAAATACTTGTTATAAAATAAAGACTGTAAAGTAAAGACAAGTATAGAGAGAAACTGATATATTATTCAAACTTCAAACTTATATACATAATGAACTGAAATCTCCTCTATTTATAGAAGAAAGCAAGATGTTGTGTAAGTTGCTGTGTAAACTGCTACTGTACTAGATATAGATAATCTTCTACCAGAGGAAATGTTTATCTGTAACAGAGTACCGACATGATAAGCTCATTGTACCAGATATAGATAATCTTCTACCAGAGGAAATGTTTATCTGTAACAGAGTACCGACATGATAAGCTCATTGTACCAGATATAGATAATCTTCTACATGGGGTGATGTTTATCCATAACGAAGTACCGAAATGATAAGCTTATTGTACCAGATATAGATAATCTTCTATCGGGTGTGATATTTATCCATAATGGGGTACCAAAAGAATAAACTCATTATACGAAATATAGATAATCTTCTATCGGGTGTGATATTTATCCATAATGGGGTACCAAAAGAATAAACTCATTATACGAAATATAGATAATCTTCTACCGGGGGGTGATGTTTATCCATAACGGGGTACTGAAAGGATAAACTCATTGTATCAGATATGGACAATATTCTACCAAGGGTGATATTTATCCATAATGGGGTACCGAAATGATAAGTTTCTTCAGGAGACTTATTTCCAATAGAGTACTAAATAGATAAACATATTTACGACGGAGTCTCATATAGATAAGTTTCTTCAGGAAACTTATTTACAGCGGAGTACTAAATGAGCATCCATAATATAATATATTTATAACACTCTCCTTTGGATGTTCATTAAAAGATAATGTACCTTATTAAAACCTTACTAGGAAAAATTCCGTGAAAAAAAATCCTAGTGAAGGAAAAAGAGTACACATATTTAGTAATACACATAACTAGTTGTCTCATTAAAAACCTTATAAGGAAAACCCTGTGGGAAAAATCTTAGTAAGGGAAAAATAGTATAGCGCGTATTTTACAACCTCTCATAAAAATCTTGTTTCAAA